TACAAAATGATATACATTTAAAAACATTAAGTATTATTAGGTAACTACAATATAGATTAAAATTACAAAAAACCATTGATAATAATTAACAAACAAAAAACATAAAAATAAACTAGAAAGCGACATAATAAAACAAAAACATTTACTACTAATTGCACTATCACATTATCAATATTTATACTTTCATGTCACATTATATATTAAGTATTAAAATATTATTATTAAATAGTCCAAAATTTAAAGATTATTGGTTTTCCAACTCACTAAACGAATAAAAATATTTATTAAATAGCCACTTTATAGGGTTCCGTAGTCAACTAGGAACTCCTATAGTTTCGCCATGTCTGTCTGTCTGTCTGTCCGTCCTCGCTTAATCTCTGTGACCGTTAGCACTAGAAAGCTGAAATTTGGTACCAATATGTGTATCTATCACGCCGACAAAGTGTTAAAATAAAAATTGGTAAAAATGTTTTATTAGGGTAGCCCCCCTTATATGTAAAGTGGGAAGTGATTTTTTTTTAATTTCAATCCTAACGTGTGATATATTGTTGGAAAGGTATTTAAAAATGAATAGGGGTTGCCTAAATTCTTTTTTTTTAATGTCAATAATTTCGGAAATAATCACTCTAAAATTAAAAAACAATGTGTCCCCCCCTCTAACTTTTGAACCATAAGTTTAGAAAATATGAAAAAAATCTGAAAAGTAGAACTTTATAACGACATTCTAGGAAAATCATTTTGAACTTGGATGGATACACCCACCCACTACCGGGAGCAGTTGCAGGAGCGCGGAGCGCTGCTGGAGCGCGAACATAATGGATACCCACCTTTAAACTCATAAGTGGGAACACTTATTGTGACGGACGGAAAACTACGGAACCCTACACTGAGCGTGGCACGACACGCTCTTGGCCGGTTTTATTCAACTCGTTCCCGAAACTCTTCCTTGGTTGGTAGTAGTCTTGCGGAAATATTGCTGTAATTTATGAAGAATCATGACCTTTTGGTTGCTGCAGTCTAACTGTAGGAATATTTTTTCTTTTATTTTCTAAGGTGTTTTTGATTATAGCTACCAATAAATATTGTATTCTTTCTTTCTATCCATAGGAAATAATATTATTTTATGACATTTCCCACAGTTAATCTTACGTAAACTATATATATATATATATATATATATATATATATATATATATATATATATATATATATATATATATATATATATATATATATATGTATGTATGTGTATATATATATTTATACACATTAAACAGATATATTATACGAAATATAGATCTCCTTAATGTGTTTCGTATGCTGGGAGCCGGAGTTCCTTTATACTGGAAACGAGACATTTTAGATGTAAAGAGGACAGGAGAACTGCTCGCACGTCACCCTTATTTAAACAAAAAAAAAGATATACGTTGATGGATTCTTTTAGCTGCTACCACACAGCCTTTTTGTATAAAGGAATAAAGAATAAATATAAAAAACGAATTATCATTTTCGAAGCGCTTTTAGAAAATTGAGGCAATGTTTTGGTTTTTAAATTTTTCTGAATGATCGTACATTTCTACGTTGATATTCGTAAAATGACGCAGAGTTGGCAGCGCTGAAGTGAAATGAAGTCATGCGCGAAAATCTGACTCCCTGTAGAGCTTCACTTGCTAATTGGATTAAAATTGGACTAGCGATCTATCTTTTGCACATGTCGCGGTGTAGTATAGGTTAAAGTTGCTTTTTTCTTTTTAAATATGCAAAAAAATATCTTATTTTAATTCTTGACAATGGACCGGCCATAGCTCGAAGAACCGACAACCGACGAGGAAAAGACGTTCTCGAGTGGCAGCCTCGTACCGGTAGGCATAGTGTAGGACGACCCCCCACTAGATGGAGTGACGACCTGGTAAGATATGCAGGAAGTCGATGGATGCAGGTGGCTCAGGACCGTGCTTTGTGGCATTCCTTGGGGGAGGCCTATGTTTGGCAGTGGACTAGTGAACGGCTGTAATGATGCCTTTTAACTTTTTTTTTATAGAAGAGGGGGCAAACGAGCATGCGGCTCACCTGATATTAAGTGACTACCGCCGCCCATGATCAACCGCAACACCAGGGGAATTGCAGGTGCGTGCAGGTGTTTTTCAATTTGTGAATGAGCTGAGTCCCCTTCGTTTTGGGTATGTCTTTAATTAAATACTTGTTTGTAATTCCACAATTACCTGAATAAAATATGACATCAATGTCTGCGCCGTGTTTATGCGTCGCTTCCAAGTGGGTACCTGTAAACGCAAGTCGCAATTTCGTTGACATCTCTTTTTGCGTTAGATTCGTCCCATACACATAATTCCACGATATTTGTGAGCAGATCATAACTTGTAAAGAATCATGTCCCACTTTACATACAGTACCCGGTTGACCGAGCTTTGCTCGGTATTTTTCGCTCGGTATTTTTCGCTCGGTTTTTTTTTAATTCGTGTGTTTTGGAAATTATATTTAGATACAAATTACATACTGATGAAATACGAATAATATTTTTTGATCTTAGCGACATAACAGAAAAAACTGAACTGGTTATTTGAATAAAAATTCGTGAGTGCAATTAGTTTAATTAAAATTTTCGTGTTTTTAAAAAATACTAAAAAAAGGGCTCGAAAAAATAGATTTTCTCAAAAAAAGAAAGAAATTTGAAAAAAAAATTAACAAAAGTCGGTCGGTCGGTCTGGTCTCGAACCATGGGTATTACGATTTTGTGACCGCCCAATATACCAATTAAACTTATTCTAACGATATTGTAGCAGTTTTTCATTGCCTAAAAACACGGACAAAAAAACATTTTCTAAAAAATAAATCCTAGCTAGATCCATTTATTGCCCCCAAAACTCCCTGCACACAAAATTTTGTGAAAATCGTTGGAGCCGTTTCTGAGATTCCGATTATATATATAAACAAGAATTGCTCGTTTAAAGGTATAGGATTGATTGACCTGTCACTTGATTCCTTTAACAGGTCGCGTCTACCTATAACCACTGTTGTATAAAAACAGTAATTGTTTATAATAACATAATAACTTATCATCTTTTCATTTAGAGGCCAGGGAAAATGTTATTAAGTAAATAAAATTTTTAGGTTATAACGGCTGTCAGATAAGGTCTATACAATTATATTTCTTTCCTCAACATAGTATAAAACCATTAAAAATCGTATCTAATCATAAATTATTAAGTTATAAAAAAGAAATCGGTTATTTTGAACATTCATAAACCACATGATGAATGAACAAGTTTTTCGTAGTCTGAAACGGAACGTGAAGAAGACGTTTTTTAATATAATGGTTTCTTATATTTACGCGAACACTACACATTGAAATAATACTAGTTTTTACGGAATTTATCGCGTATATTTAACTTTTTAAATACCAGACGTTTCGAGAGCTTTACAGCACCCATGGTCACGGGAAGGACTGAGATGTTCAACGTCCAGATGTCATAGTTAACCGCGGTTACCATAGATTAAAATTTAACATTTGTTCCGATCTACACAGTATGAACTTATGGTATCATGAAGTCTTTTTTTTATTTATTATAGGATCCCTAGCAGATGGTAGCACCCAGCCATCTTCTCTATTACAGGATCGCCCATTCTCTACGTACAGGATCGCCCCCGTCACTATATCAGATTTGATAGCCCACAAATCCTCGCTAAAGAACACCGATTCCTTCTAAGGATGATTCGCGAGGCTATTGAAATTAAAAAACATCCTAATTTCAATAGAGAAGATGGCTGGGTGCTACCATCTGCTTGGGATCCTATAATAAATAAAATTAAATACCAACCCAAGCATACAACTGCAAGACTTCATGATACCATAAGTTCATACTGTGTAGATCGGAAGAAAAGTTAAATTTTAATATATGGTAACCGCGGTTAACTATGACATCTGGACGTTGAACATCTCAGTCCTTCCCGTGACCATGGGTGCTGTAAAGCTCTCGAAACGTCGGGTATTTAAAAAGTTAAACATACGCGATACATTCCGTAAAAACTAGTATTATTTCAACGTTTTTAATATATTTTGGCGTAGCTTCTGGGCCCTTGAGCCATTGTAAAGCACATTCCGTCTCCAAAAGTCTATTGAGAATGATAAACAAAGTAACATTACTTTTTTTCCTGGCTTTATTTGAAAATTCAATCATGCGATACGAAATAAGAAAAAAATATGCAATTTTATAAGATATTTTACATCACTACACGCGTTAAAAAATTTTCAGGTGGACATGGACATGATTCTTTAGCGTTACGTTAGTAGTAGTTAGTACGTTAGTACGCTTAGCTTACACAAGTAATAAAAAACGGAGATTTCTCCTTTTGGGTACTGATGCACTGCTTGTAAATCGTACACAGCCACTTTAATATTCTTGTTAGCCTTGTCTTTTTTTCGGCACGTGATAGGTATTTTTCTTTCTGATGTTTGGCATTACTTTCTTTAAGTGTTTTTTTTTTCGCTATTACTATTTTTAAACGCTTCAAATGTTTCGCAGAGATCTTTCTTCGGTATAACGAATATGTTGAAGTCATGTGTAAAAATGCAGTAAAACATTATATGATTTCCATAAGAAGCATTATTTTTTACACACGTAATCCTTGTGAAGGTCAGCCACACTGTTTTTTTTTTCGTCTATATAATGTCTTTTTGAGTGGGATCTTTTAAAATGAGATACAATTTTGGATATGGATTTAAATTTTTTATGCCTTTTTTAATTTTTTTTATCAACTTTACGTTGTTTACCATGGCATCTTCGATTGTCTTTCATGTCGGTCATGTTGGTCATTGTAGTCTTATTTTTCTTCTTTATAGCTGTATCTACTGATCGAATATTTATCCCTAACGTATTTTGGAAAAAGAGCTTGCATACTCAGATTTTTGTAACAGAAACAGAAAAGTAACAGCTTTGTTATTATTTCACTTAGGCCCAGAGCAGTTTCCATCAGCATGAACTCTAATAAAACGATGTTATGGCGTAACATCTTTCACAGAATTTGCAATAAAACTCCATTGTTTTTTGAATACTACCCAAGGTCCAATAGTCTTCATTGAGTTGCAGCTGTTGACTTTCAGTTATATTTGTTCCAAATTTGAACTTACATGTATCTTTACAGGGTTCCTTCAAATGACGTTCCGATGAAGTTCTTCTTCTTTTGCTTGTCTGGTATTCTTTTCTACTAATTCGTAATCTTTTAGCGATGTTTCTTTTCCAGCCTTTTTCATTTATATGTTTCTTTCTTCCTCTTTTTGATGGAGTTAGAGTACTTGTAGGTGCTAATTCTGTCATTATGTTAGTTGAACTTGGTATTACTTCCATTGTTGAGGGAGCTATGATTTCCGAAGTTGCAGATGTAGGCACATCTAGTTATTGTTTGATATAATGGAGATTCTGATGTCCTTTTTGGAACTGTATACGTTTGCCCTTCTGGCGGCAAGTATCCTTCTTAATCAGAACTACTCTCAATTTGTACGTTACGTTGTGGTATAATGCTATAATTTGGGACTTTAACCGAATCATCAGAGTGTCAAAGAAAAAGTGCACTGCTGATTATTAGTAATATTATATTATATATAATATTATATTATATTATATATTAGTAAGAAAATATAAGCAAAATACCTTCATAAAATATTGTACCTGATGATAACTAACTGCTGCTTTGGCGAATTCATCGTAACCACCATAAAGGAAGAAGAAGAAGAATTTCTGCCGGAGAAGATGCTCGAAGATTTAACCAAAATTCGCTGAGATATTCTAGCGTTATTCCCTAGTTCATCTTTATCTGAAAATAAGTTTAATTTCTCACAATGTTTTCTTAATTTTTAAATAATTTAGACAAAACTCACTATGTCATCCCCGTAATTTCACCAACTGTTACAAATACCTACCAACGTAAATAAATAATTACGTGTTTACATTAGATAGGTATTGTTTTAAATTGTACACTTGTGCAGTACCTATATCTTCTTAACATAGTCAGCCTAATCCACAGGAAAGGAAAGGTCAAAAGACCAACAAAATATTTGTTATCTGCCTTATACCTCATTATTTGTACACTTAAAAACACTTCCAAAGCCCTAAGGAAACTAATAAGCAATGACCTATAGTTGTTGACTCTATCTTACCAGGTTGTATGTTTTCTTTATTAATATTCTCTTTTTTCAGCACCATTTTCATTAATCAAGACCATTATTTTATTTAACTGCGACCACATCTGTAACAAAAATAAGGTCATGTTTTTATTCCATTTATCATAAATAACGTGACGGTATGGATATCATAAGCACTTAATAAGTTATTTATTCAAAACAATCTTATATTTTATGTTCACAATTTAACAAAAAAAAAAATAACTAAAAAGAATCAAATATTTACTACTTAATACTTTCAGAAGTTGATACTTAGATATAGTGCATAGATATGTGTAGAAAAATTAAAGCCAAGACTTGTTCTTGACTTCACATTTTATAAACCTTTTGAGAAGACTAAGTCTATAATATAGACTTTAGTCCTTAGACCATAATAAGCTCAAGGTAAAAACTGGAACGTCGTTTTAATAGTTATCATAACTCACTCCATCTAGTGGGGGGCCGCCCATTATTTTGTCTACGGGCACGGTAGCGGTGAAATATTTACATTATAGTAACTTCGTCGTTAGTGCAAGTACACCACAGGGTACCTTGGTATAAAAAGTACACCAACACTAACGAACAAACGTTTATTTTGACGTACGCTTGTATCGATATTGTGTCCTTTGACACCAAAGCGCAAAATAAATCAACTGATTAAGACAGGCAGTACAACGTTTGTTTTTTCGTTGGGGATTATTTATTTATTTTATCTTTAATTGATACACCTTAATAAGTGGGGTAACAAAAGTACCTATCGGTATTCTCTGCCAGTTACCCGCGGCCCTCAGCACCGCAACTCAATGCTGTCACTTGTTCCGTGCGGGGTTCGAACCCGCGGCCCTCAGCAATACAACTCTGTGCTGTCACTACGCCGCGGAACCGTCAAATAATAATAAATATTTCAGATTCATAACTATGAATAAAACTAATATTAAGAATTTCTTTACAATTCATCGGATATTAATTAAACGGAATAAAAATCTTAAAATTGATTATATTGAATGTCAAGCATTTGTGTTAATTTAAGATCACAAATATAGACCTATATCCTAGACGGCCGCCGCCTTTGCATCAGATACGATAGACCAAATATTGTTATCTAAGGCAATATTAAAACGTTGCCATAAATAACAAAACTGTTTCCCTACATTTTTTGTATCATAAACATAAAAAATGTTTACAGACGTAAATAAAATCTTGGAAAATGATCTTAGTCAGGAGGAAATATTTCCTGCCGGTACACGACCGCAGTCACAATATACATGTATATTGCTAGTTAGTTATATAGGTGCAGTTTACGTTCCTTGTATGGCGAAGAAATGTGTTCTGAGAGATATTTTGTGTTCTCACAACATCTTATCCTCTCACACTTTGTAACGTATTTTTAAGATTGTTTTAAGTGCTGATTTATTGCGTGCTAAAAATAGCCAGGAAACCTACCTGTCAGACAAATAATATTAGTTTATCGGAGACATGTGAAGTCCGCTAGCAAATCCAGAGAAATGAGAGCATGAACCTACCCAGAATCCCATTCCGTTCATTACAGCGAATTAAAATACACTGATGAACAAACGCCTCCAGAGATTACCTCATAGAAGGGATTTTACCATAGTTGTCACACGCGGAAGGCGGATATTTTGGTGCGCAGTTTATTTGAGTTGCCATCAGGAAGGTTCTGCTGTCCATCTCCTGCTTCATTTTCTCTCTGTCACCTCAAAAGCCACCCAGGGGATGATACGGGATAGTGCATATTCTTACACCGCCATTACACGGTTTCCATGTGCTCGGGATTAGAACTTGCATATAGGCTGTGACTTTAGTTTACTTTTGTACCATAATTACGCTGAGTTAAGAAATATATATGCGTTGCAGAAGAAGCTGTTAAAGCCCTACTAAATAAGCTGTTATGAGAAAAATATTTAATTCTCTTTAGTCTCGTAACGTGTGAATGCTACTTAGGCACTGATATTCAGATGCAGCAACAGAAAAAGCTTTGAACTGATCCAGATGGACTCTTGGGCAGGGAAGGAGTCCTACCACGCAGTAGGAGTACCAGTATCGCGTCTAGTTGTACCATTCGAATGTAATAAGTTTTATTCTCTCTTTTGCCAGTAACAAACAAACACAACAATATTTCTATGTTTACCGCCTAGGAGAACTCTAATACGTATAAGTAGATATTTGGTTTATTTTTACGTGGTAAAGCCATGCTGCTGCTATATTATCGCTGCAACACGAATGGCTCAGCTCGGCGGGTACGAATACGCTTTCACAGCATAAATGCATAAAATATCTGATTAATGCTGCTGTGTTTCATATGGTGAGTGTAGAAAACCGGAGACCATTTTAACTGGTAACGAAGCATACCATTTTAGTCCTCAAGCGTGACGATGCATCTGCATCTTAATTCTTAATCGAGGATAAATATAGATGTCTTTGGGTCACACCATCCACTTACCATCAGGTGGACTGTGTGCGTTTTTTACCCATATATAAAACAAAAGAGCCTCTACGCATATAAAAGTGTGAGTAGACTGACGTTTTCTTTCCAGCTCGTATTATAAATGCACGAAAGCTAAAACTACGTAGTCGCAGACATCAAAAAACAGCGTCTCAAATCGTTTACACAAACGTTTTACACGCAACGAAGCGGAATGCAGCGATCGTTCAATGGACACAAGTGGTTTAAACTCGATTTGCTGAACAACATTTGCTTGCACCGCAAAGGTCGTTGGTAATCTTCATTACTTTTACTCCTTTTATTAAAGAAGTAATAGGTTTGCAGTCAACTTCGATAATGAAGGCTAATAATCTTGCGCTCGTCAGATGCCGCTAGTTGGCACTGACGTGAAGTTTTTGTTGCACAATGTCATTTAAGTGTGAAGTTAGTTTTAAATAAACGTTTATCAATTTCTGGAGTATTATATATTAATACACAAAACAATGCAAACAGTTGTTTGCTCTTTTTATTTTTTGTACATTTATAACGCGTTTCTTAAATCTTCTACTTTTAAGAATATCCGTATTTTGTCAATTAATTTCTTATTTAATTAAAGACATAAAGACATAAAGACATTTATTATGACACTTCAGATTACAATCACAAATTAATAAACAAAATTAAGACGAATAAGAATAAAATAAAAGAAATAAAAACACAAGAAAATTAATAAACAAAAAAAAAATAGAGGATATAACAACAATTCATAACTTAATCGAAACAGATGAAGTGGCGGAAGGGACCGCCTTAGCATAACGTCGCCTTAATTCTAATATATCGTATCTCAATTTTGAAAGAAACCGACATTTTTGTGTGCTTTGAATAAAGGCGACAAAGTACATCTTTCTCTTTCTTTACTTTGCAAAGTTTGTATGAAAAAGAGTGAGATAAAAGACTTGACGTAATGCGACGTATCTCGGATCGCTCGATCTTTCTGCGAATATGCATTAACTCATTGAGTCACCATAGTTTGTCGACATCGCGCAGGTTGCTCTGCGATTTAAGTGATGTGTGATTGTTTTTAGAAGCTGCCAAGGTATGAAATCGTTTTTATTTTGTTATTTGACATTTTTTTACTGTTTTAAAACATACTTCATTTGTGGAAAACCACTTATAATATAATAATTACGAGTTTAAAAGTGCCTTTTGAGATACGACCTATTCGAATTTAAATTTTATAGTTTGCCTTTGAAATACGACCTATTCACATGGATTTTTGTCATTGCTTTTAGATATCATCAAAATGGATTTGTTGCAGTTAGATGATGAGGAACAGGAAATCCTTCAAATATTAGCAGAGAATGGAATAAAAGTAACGAATCCTAAGAAAAAACATCAGAGCCGGATACAAATTTTAGAGAACATTTTAGTATACAAACCAGACAACGAACTCCTTCATGCGATTAATATAGCAGCCGAATCCGATCCTTCCTTTAAGTGCCCAAAAGAATCCCCTTTAGAAGTTGATGTACAAGCGTCGAACTTGGGTTCATTACTTAGTGTTGCTACTGAAAATGGTCCTGAAATTGAATTTGAAGACACATTTTCTGTTACCGGGATTGATGAAGGTGCTCCTAAATCGAATGCTATTATTAAAATATGCGAAGCTTCGGAAGGTGTCAGTGAATTGGAAATCACGCATTTTACTACCAATGATAGTCAAACAATTGGAGTTGTAGAAGTGGATGAATCTGGACTTGAAACAATTGACAATGAAGTACCAGAGAAGCCCAAACGCAGAAAACATGCTGCTTGTACAGAATGGCAAAGAAATATAACGAAAGAAAAGAGAATGCGGGGGAGAGAGTTATTCAGGATATTCCAGAAAGGAAAAACAGGTTACGACAGGTATACAAAGAAGTAAAAGGCAGATGGGTCCAACATGTGACTCTAACTTCTGCAAAAATAGCGCCAAGCGGTTTTGCTCCGAGTTCGGAGAGCATGACAGACAATTTATTTTTATAACTTTTGGAAGGAGCTCGATTGGTCAGGGAAGAAAAGTTTTGTTTCTTCAATGATAGACAAGATCCCAATCAAAAAAAGACAGTTGATTCACATAAAAGACAACAAAGCTATGTATACTATCTAAAGCTGAATGAGGAAACAAACCAAGTCTGCAAAAAATGTTTCTGAATACTTTAGGAATCAGAGAACGCATGGTTCTTACCTGGATTTCAGAAGCAAAATCGGGTATCTCATTAACTGAGACTACAAAGCAAAAAAGCAACAGAGGCAAAAAAAGATCTACTGAGACACCAACCTCCAGTGGAATCAGTCAAGCTGAACATCTGCTAAAGATTTTTGAAGAAATACCTAAGCTACCCTCACATTACTGTAGAAGTACATCAACGAAACTATATCTTGAACCAGTATTCGAAAGTAAAAGCCATGTATACAACATTTACAAAAAAAAAATGCGCAAGCGATAAGGTGAAACCAATATCAGCTTGTTTTTTTTTTAACAAGTTTGATGAACTGAACGTAAGCATTATCAAGCCAAAGAAGGATAGGTGTGATGTTTGCTGCGGTTATGAAACCAAAAACGTGACAGAAGAGGTTTACAAAAAACATATTGAGAAGAAAAAGGCTGCAAGACTAGAAAAAGAAGCTGATAAAAAGTTGGCTATTGTTGAAAAAATTACGGTACTTACTGTAGATTTGCAGAGCGTGAAGGTTTGTCCCAAAGTTCAAGCTAGTGCTGTCTATTATGAGACAAAGCTTTGTTGTCATAATTTTACAGTTTACAACTTAGCAACTCACGAAGTAACCTGTTATTGGTGGCATGAATGTGAAGGCGAGCTACAAGCATCCAACTTCGCTTCTTGTCTAGTAGACTACATACAAGAGAAGGTTCCTAAAACTATTCCACTAGTTATTTTTAGTGATGGATGTACAGCCCAGAATCGAAACTCTATCATGGCTAATGCTCTTCTTGACTTGGCTATGAAAGAAAACATAGTAATCACACAAAAATTTTTGGGAAAAGGGCCATACCCAAATGGAGCGTGACTCAGTACATTCTGTTATTGAGATAAAACTAAAAAAAAAACGACATAAATCTATCTCATGAGTATGTTAAGCTTACTAAAGATGTAAAGAAGAAAATTCCTAAATATGACGCAAAATACCTTTCCCATGATTTTTTCAAAGATTTTTCAGTACTGCAACGATACACCTCCATTCGACCTGGAAGAAAAGCTGGTGACCCAACTGTCACTGACATCCGGCAGTTGCGATATGAGCCAGATGGAAAAATTCAATTTAAACTTAATTTTTTGGATGATTTGCAAGAGTTGCCCATCAGATGGAAGCCTGGTACCTACACAATTAATCCAATGTACACAGGAAGAATACCATTGAAGCCAAGAAAATGGAAAGACCTCCAAGATCTAAAACACATTTTGCCAACAGACTGTCATTCTTTTTACGACAATTTGCCTAAGGCAACGACTGATTAAAGATTAAGTAAATATTTTATATATTAAATAAGTGAGAGTTAAAGTTGATGTTAGCATTTTTTTTAATTTAAATTCCTACTAAGAATTTTATTTTTGATTGTTTTTTTAATTGTTTAATAGAAGTTTATTTTTGTTTGATCCTTTTTAATGATTCCTAATTTTAATGAAAGTGCCATTATTATTAATCTAAGTGCTAAATTATCTTAATTGTAGACAAATAAAAGAATATAATACAGTGGTGACTTTAATTTTTTTATGTTAATAAACATTATCTCAGTAAATTAATCATGCTAATAAAGCGTAACTCAGGTATTGAGCTACTTGGCCAAGCAAATTGTATTACAATGTCAAAATAAGATATACTAGTATATTTTGATAGTTGGTTCAGAACATCACTTATAGTGTTTTCATAGAATTATAATAATAAAAACAGTTTTTTGACCATCCTGAACAGTTGTCATTTCTGAGATAAGCTTTATTAGAATTAAGGCGACGATAAGTCGTGGGATAGCGACGCTGATTTCCAGTCGGCCCCATACGGTCCTACGGAGACCGTGCCGTAAGTGTAGATACATATGGTGATAACAACTGATGAATGTTAATAACAAAATGGAAAATACGTATTGTATAGTTGTGTTGAACGTAAGTTGCTGAACGCTACGTGAGACGTGACGGGAACATTAGTAAGTGTAATAATTTAATTTAACAGTGTATATTATAAAATTATAATTATATTTTATAATATACACTGTTAAATTAAATTATTACACTTACTAATATATATATATATATATATATATATATATATATATATATATATATATATATATATATATATATATATATATATATATATATATATAGATACATACGTTTAATAGGCTTTTTGTAATAAATAATAATATGTAATAGCATAATAAATAATATATAAACGGAATATCAGTAGCTTACGTCTAACCTCTTTAACAATACTCCTATTTATTAACTATGCCCTTCTGTTCGTTTATTAGGAAATATTTTATGTGCTTTCTAAACGTGCCTAATGTGTTTAGGTCACGCAGTGGAGGAGGTAAATTATTCCAGCAATGGGAGGCTGCATACTTATAACAACCTCGAAAGGCTGAAGAAAAATGTCGCGGAATACTGAGCCTATTATAGGATGAAGCGCGGGTGAGATACTTGCTATGCTCGCGAGACCAGTCTAACTTACTAAAAAGATACTTTGGGTTATTCGTCTTTATGACGCCAAAAAGTACACAAGCTAAGTGAAGTTTGCGTCTGGCAGCCATTTTAAGGATATTATTGTCGTCAATAAATGGGCTTACGTGACTTGGCGGTACATCGAAGCAAAACCTCGCGCAAGCATTTTGGACCCGTTGGATAAGGTGTGCGGTACGTGACAGTAAACAAGGCCCATAAACCGTATCAGCATAATTAAATTTTGATAGTACTAGGGTGTCCGACAGTCTTTTTCGTAATTCTATACTTAAGTGTTCACGCATTCTGTACAGGATTTTTAACCTATAAAAACAGTTCTTAACAATGTTATTGATATAATCTTGAAATCTGAGGTCGGGGCTAATTATGATTCCTAAATTACGTGCTTTGTCGACTCTTTCTAATACCGTGCCTTTTATATACAGTATTGGGACAAATTTATATATTTTTTGAATCTGTTGTTTCATTCCGCAAATTAAAAACTTTGTCTTTGATGGATTCAACACTAAACAGTTTCTTTCTGACCACTTTACTACTTTATCCAAATCCTCGTTGAGTTCATTAATAGCTTCTGTAGTATGACTAGGCTTAAAAGACTTATAAATCTGTGTGTCATCTGCAAATAAGTGATATTTACAATATTGGAAACAGTTACTAATGTCTGATGTATATAACGCAAAAAGTACGGAACGAAGGAACACCACCGTGATTCGCTGCGGAGAAGATACACAGTTTTGACCATTTAATTGAATTGTAATTTGCGTGAACATCCACTAAGGTAACTGTGAAACCATTTTATAGTCCTGGGATCAAATCCGTATAACGACATTTTGGACAAAAGTAAAGACGTATTTATGGTATCAAAAGCCCTAGAATAATCTAATAGGACGAGTATAGTCCCCTGACCTGTATCTTGGCCCTCCAATATATTACCTACTACATCAGATAGGGCAGTAGCAGAACGTCGTCCATTTCTGAAACCCGATTGAAGATCGGGCAGTATAGCATTATTTTCTAGATATGAAATTAATTGTTGATACACAACTTTTTCTAATATTTTAGATATACAGGGTAGCAAACTTATGGGCCGTAAGTTTGTCACGGTAGCAGGATTGCATTTTTTGGAAGAGGACGTATTAAGGCTACTTTCCAGATGTCAGGGAATGTGCATGTAGTTATCGATAGGTTAATCAACGCGGTAATAGTTTCCAGACTTTGTAGGAGGGTCATTAATAGCATATCTAGGTTAATACAATCAACTTCCAGTGCATTAGATTTTAGTTTTTTAATTATATTCAAAGTAATATCTTGAGGTACCGGTTTCAGCAAAAAAGTTTTAGATGTAAATCTATTAAATTCAAAATATGTAAGATCTGATATAGTTACGTTATAGGAACCTGGTATATTTGAAAAATGTGAATTAATAATATCAGGATCCAATAAATGTGGCGGTAGGTCGTATTCGTTTTTCGGTGGTAACGAGTACGCCTTCAGATTTGACCATAGCTTCTTTGGATTGCTGATATTATTATTAATGAACACTTTGTAATATGCTTTTTCCTCGTGGTATAGTGCGACATTTACTTGATGTTTTAATTGTTTATAATAATTTTTATGACTGGGCGACTGTGAACATCGATATTTGTTGCGTGCTTCATCGCGTAAACTCATCATTAATTTTATGGTTTTGGTTATCCAGGGGCAAGGGCGATCCTTGAGTATAACTGTTTTAATAGGTGAATGCAAGTCAAATAAATTTAGGATATAGCGATTAAATAAGTGTACCATTTCATTGACATTATCGGTACAACTGATCACATCCCATGGGATTATGTGGAGGTCTCGTTCAAAGTAATCAAGTAGGATATCATTTAGGGGGGCGATATACTAACGTCCGAGGTATTATTTTGTCTATTTTAAAATGTAACTCGCATGTAAGAAAGGCATGATTACCTAAGTCAGCTATATGATCAATTGTGACATTTCGTGTTGGCGCATCAGTACAGGTAACATCAATTAGAGTTTGACTAGTTTCGATAAAATGTGTTGGCTTATCTATTAATCGTTTAATATTAAAATAATTTATAAATTCCATAAAACGCTTGGTCTTCACATCTTATGTGTCAAATAAATTAATATTATTAATATTATTATTAAATCTCCCAAAATCAGAACATAATCGTGCGAAAATGTGCTAAGGCTGTCAGTAATAGCATCAAGAAATAATTCAACGCTAAGCCATGGTGGGCGGTAAGCCGTGCCTATCACAATTTTTTTTGAGTTTATATGCAGAGCTAGCCACATCTCTTCTACACAGCTGTGGCGAGGAGTAGATAATGTTCGGGCGTTGATTCCCTTTTTGAAGTAGAAGCCTACACCCCCTCCACGGCCACCGCGCACAGAGTGTGGTCTCGGCACGTGACGTAGGCGGTAACCAGGTACGAGCGGAGCGCGCCCATCTTCGCCTTCCCGCAGCCAGGTCTCATTTATCGCCATGAGATCAACATCATGTCGACTCATGGCTACGAGGAATTCCTCGTGTTTCGTACCCAATGAACCCGCATTAAAGAAAACAACTTTTAATTCTTTAAACTTAATTATTGCTAACTGAATAACCACTAACGTTGGCCGAATAAAAAGATTTATCCATTGTTAACAGATAGTAATGAGGTAATAATGAGTATAAAATACAAAATACGGTTTTTCTAATTGTAACAAATATTATATATTGTAAATTTAATCTTATAAATAAATAGTACATCTCAGGATTTACGTATAATAAATGAATATTATTAATTCATATGGAATAAAACTAATATTACAGAAAGAAACGTAGGTCTTTACATTTTACTAACAAATTAACTTCCCCGGTATGAGATCTGTCAAATGTTTAACCTCATTCCAAAGATGCGCCGCGCTGGTGGCGGAAAATTGTAGCTGCTCTCATTGACGGCTTCGTAGGGCAGCGGCTTAGTAAAGAGTTGTAGCGCTGAGGGCTACGGGCTTGAATTCTGCATGGGACAAATATTTGTATGGCCTACAAAGATTTATTCCTTGGTTGGTAGGTTGTCCTTATGTAATTTATTTATATATTATATATTATAGGAAGTCATAAATCTCCTAAACTTGGTTAAGTTCAATCTCTGACATTGAATTGAATTTACATAATACAATGACCGCATAAAAGGACCGTGCTTCGTAGCAATCTTTAGGAGACCTACGTTCAGTAGAGGACTTGTGAACCAGTGTAAAGGTGATGGTGAGTAATGAGATTTTGATGAAGACATAATAATGCTGATAAAATGCAGTCACTCCCAACACGGGAGCGTCAGA